ACGAGGATACTTCAAAAAGTTCATGGAAAGATTTGTATTATCTTTTAATTCTATTTTTCTGCGAAGCTTTTGAAGACCCCTCATATATATCAACCCTTGGACAACACAGGTTTGAACAGGTCCACATATATGCAGGTTTTTTCAATAAATGTATTGGAAACATTTTTTCAATAAATATATTGGATAAACCAGTTGAGTAACTTACCTAATAGTAGGCTATTAGTAGTTAAGTAGTTGAGTACTTTACTACTACTTAAATAATGATGTCCGTCCCTTCTCACCCCCGTGACCAGGGAAAATTAGTAGATTTTTCTACTGCACAAGGTCAGGGGGCGGGGTTTGCTGCCCCTGACATGTATATATATTCATGTTTGTGTGTGTGTGTGTAGTTTTAGTATATGCACTAAAAATCCAGAAGGATGTAGAGCAAACTCTTTACTATGGTTATCTTGGGAGGGAAGAATGTGGAATTATGAAATGGTGGGGATGGGGGAACTTTAATTTTCAATTCTACATACTCAGGATATATTTTAACAAATTTACAAAACAATAATTTGGAAAAAAATTATATCTAGAGGGATTTTTAAAAGTTCTCTGCCTAAAACTTTATACAGGTTAAATAAAGAAAAGGAAAGATTATTAAAGCAAAATTTTTTTGTTAAATTAAAAATTTATTTAAACAAGTTGATGAAAGAATGCATAGTGTGATCCAATTTTCATCAATTATGGATATGAACATATGTACGTGTATATATGTGCACATGTATATATATACATGCACATACACACATACTTAAACAATTGTATATATGTAGAAAAAGTCCTGAAGGACTCATGCACCAAAGTAATGGTGGTTTCCTTTGAGTAATATTGAATTTTTGCAACCAACTGGTATTGCTTTAGAAATTAAAAATATTTTTAATTATTGAAACATTGGTAGGCCAGTGGTTTATTATAAAAAATACTTTCAGGTTACTTCCAAAGAGCTCAAAAGAACTCATCCTCTGGTTTATTCATGTATCCAGTGAGTCCGCAGATGTGGTTTAGCATCTGCTGCATCAGGGTGCCATGAAGGGGACAGCACTGTGGCTTCAGGCAGGCCACTGTCAAGCTCGGGTTTACATAGGTTGGTTCTTTGAGGAGTTCTTGGTCTTCCAGGAGTGAGAGTGCCAAGTGTCTGGGTTATTATTGCGCCTTGGGATGGAGACCCATTTGTTGGAGGGCATGTGGAACTGTCTTTGTCTTGTGATTTCCCTTCATCTTTCAGAATAACTTAATACTCCCTTCTCCCACTTACTTGTGGGGTTTATTTTTTTAATAATGTCTCCTATATAATTCTTATCTGGTTCGTCACTTGTGAAATGTTTTACATTTCCTTACCCTTGCTTACCCTTGCTCTTTGTGAATATTACTTTCTTCTATGAAACCAAGTAGTATCAGCAATGCTGACATTATTTGCAATCCCCATTTTGGGGATTTTTTTTCAGCAGAAGCCTTTTCATTGGCACCCTCTTAGGGTGACTTATGAAATTTCCCACAAGTAAAATATTCTTCAACAAATTTAAGTGATTTTTTTTTAACTGTTTCATCCTTGTTGTATCATTCAAAAATTATTTATTGCCCATCTGCTATGTGCCATGCTCTACACTGCACCCTGGGAATTCTATGACCAAACCACCAATGCTTTTCATGTACATATCTTACTTCCAAAGGCTATGGCAAGGACCAATCAAGAAAGAAGTAAGTATGTGACATTTAAGCTTCTGATTTTGCACACAGGTTCTTCACATGAGAGATAGTCACTATTAACATAAATGTAACAAGCAGATGCAATATGTTATTAGATGATTCTTCTGTAAATTAATGTGTACACAGGCTCAGGATTTCATCTAATCAACTGTCTTATAAATATTTTTCTTTTGGCTTGAATTTTTGTATGAGTCAAAGATATGCTTTTTGTTTTTAATCAGGAAACACGTTTGCTGAGAAAATCCCACGTTTCTTATGATTTTTCTGGGCTCCAGTATGTGCCAACAGCATTGTGATTTGTTCTTTTAAGGAATAGTGGTATTTCTGTATTTTAAAACCATGCTGAAATGCTCTTTCTTCTGCTGTGCCTCTGAATATGCTCAGAGATTCTAAAACAATGAATGTTATGTCTGATGTTCTTTGTAGAATTTATCAGCATCTTTTCCTTAACTATAGAGCTTATTGCTTAGCTCAAATTTCCTCCCCTAAAACTGTCATGTTTCTGGTGCCACATTTCTGAATTTTTAAGGACTTAACCAATACAAAGGCAGTGGATTTGTTGGTATACTCGTAACAACTCGTAAAATATATTTGGGTGGGATCTTTGGTTCTGCCGAGATAGAATAGCCCATTCCTTCTAGGTCCTACCTCTTACAACTAAAACACTCTGGTCATAACATAACAACCAACCATAGGAAGACTCTGAAAGGCAGAACGAAGGCAGGCAGCCTAGGGACCTTGGGACTTGAGAAACAACACAGTGGTGGTGAGTTCCCTGGGTTACTTTATTGCCTCTTGTATCTTAGGATGCCATAGAAGCCTCCAACCCATAAGCACCAACAAGCATAGACAAAAAAATCTGCAAGAAAAGCCTGTTTTCCTGAGCCAGAGGACTGGGGCAGGGACATCTACAGAAACAGTGGACAGTTCTGGTGTTTGCTACTTCCGGTTTGTATTCCCCTCAACAATCTCCCAGAGATTTTCAGGAAGTGGCTGAGCAGGGTGTACCACATTGGGTCCTTTTCTCTAATGTTCCCATTTCTCTAAGCCTTTGATCTCCTAGAGTCTGCAGAGGGAGTTCTAGCATCTCTGTCTCATTGACTGTAGGCCTCCACTCAAGCAAGGCTTCTGTTAACCATTCCCAGGTGCTTGAGCAACACGTTAAATCCTGAGGCCTATGTAAAGTGCCCCTGTTGGCCTGACCCACCCTTTTATTTATTCCTGTTTGCTATACTTAGAATCAATTTCCGTGTGTGCTCTCCAGGTTCCCGCTAATATAATTTGGCAAGATCCTGCAGCTCCTTCAGTACGTATGTTATTTCCTCCAGGAGCAGATCTTGCAGTGATCTCTCTGGATCATGCTAGGATTTTACTCTCTTTATGGCCCTAGAGGCAATGAGTGTTGGTAGTGGTGAATCCTGAAAAGAATAGGCAGTTCTTTTTCAGCTAGCTACCCTAGACGAAGCCGTTGAAATATTTTTATGCAAGAGAATGCTAGTTTTCTTAAAAGGAGGAAAGGTCTATTTCTGATGCAAAGAAATGTTTGGAAATGTTACAGGTTCAAGGTCTTAGATTTGTGCCTGTCCAAACGCTTCCATCTCAAATCTCAAGTTCCTGTTCCTTCTTAACCAGTACATGTACCTTAGTGTGAGAGACTTGGCATAAATATACCTTTATGTGGCATATGATTCTGCAGCCTCTACATTTAGGCCTCAGCCATGTCCCTTACAGCTTTATAAAATAAGGACTCCTTTAAGGCTACGATAGAAAGTTTCTGATTCTCTACCCATACCTTGAATTGAGATTTCAAGACATTAAGCTTATCTTTTTCTTTAGGAAATTCCTTCAGCACAGTCAAAAGAAGCCATCTCACCCCCACGAACTTTGAATTCACCATGATGCCATAGCAATCAAGTACCATAGCCACTTGGTCTCCCAGTGCCTGAGCCTCCGCTGGCATTCTGTTTGAGTGATATTTTGAGTAGTCATGATGCCACAGCATGCTGCAGATTAGCAGTGTCCCACTTCTCCCTAGAACGGAAGCCATTCATGCACTCATCAGCCCAACCCCAGAGTCCCGTTTTGATGGGCTTTTTCCCTGGGCCACCCTTGTGACACATATTGTACCAGCCAGGGTAGCAGCTGGAAGACAAAGTGCACATTCAGCTGGGGTTTCAAAGAGAAATTAATGAAGAGGGACAGATTACTGAGCTATCTGCAGGTTTCAGAGCACCTACAAGGATGATGAGGCCCTTGAGACTTGCAACACTAGGAAGCCGTCACCATCCTTCATCTTTAGGCCTAGAGGGCAAAGGGAGATGGGGAGCCCAATGGGAACCAGGGCTGTCAAAGGGGGCCTGCCCAGCAGGAGCACTAGTCCTACAGCCGAGAGGGAGTGGGGTGGAAATACTCAGCCCTCTTCTCTTCCTGTCCTTCAGCCTCCCACTGGTGCCTCCCACTGGCCTCACCGGAAGCCAGAGATCAGGCAGCTTTGCTCGTAGGGTCTGTGGATGTCACCTTCCTGGGCCATAGAGAAAGGCAGAGACTGCATTAAGGGGTGGGGAAATAGAAAACCATCGGCACAGGGGGTCTTGTGAAAACAACAGTAGACTGTTCTCCCCTCACCAGTGGATAGCACTTCTGGTGGGAAACATGGCCTCTAGCAGCTGGAGCTCTCTGGAATGGACCAGAGGCCCCCACAGGGCTCGTGACTCACTGCAAAATGTGCCCAGATGGGAGTCTGAGAAGGGATTCCTCTGTTATGTGGGAAGATCCTCAAACTGTATCATTCAGGTTCTGAAATTTTCTTTTCAAGCAATCAATGTGAATGTATTTTTAGGATAAATTCCTTCAAATGGTATTGTTTAAGTTCTGTGATATGTATGTGTTCTAGCTAAATTGTTGACATTTTCTGTTATGTGATTTTTATAAAGTACTTCAAATTCTACATTTGCACTATTGGTTCTAGTGAGCAGAGTTCAGAAGATAATATGCAAAAGGCTTCTTTTTCCTTAGCTGATAACTTAAGGATACTATGTCATCTGAACACTAATAAAATGAGCACACACATGAACACACATAACTCATCTAATTCCAGTGCTCAGATTTAGGACATTTGAGTTTATATAATGCAGTTTGTTGACCATGCTTAATTCTTTTTTTTAACAGAGGAAAAAGACTGTCTCGGAAGAAGTCCAGAGTCTTTCATCTTGAACTAACAGTGTTCTTCTTTCCCTTTTTTCCCCTTCCAGGAGGACAGCTATTAGTTTTGTGGCTTACTGCTGCTCCACCCAGTGTCTGCAGACTTTTGACCTGCTGAGTTGATAAACACTCAAGAGCCCCAGGAGAGCTGCCAGCTTGACACTGCAGCTGCCTGTGTGTCACGTGCTGTGTGCGGCAGGGGCAAGAGAGTCCAGCCAAGCCAGGCCAGGCCCGAACAGGCCCTTCCATCCTGTCCTGTCGTATGTGGGGGCACTGTAGAACTCTGTGGAAATGTCATGATTGAGCTCCAGAGCTAAAATGCCTTCACCCTTCCCCCAAGTTGGAATACATACTACCGCAAATTAAGGACACTTTGTCTTCTGTGTTTCTTCTTTTTACGTGAGTGTGTCTCATAATCAAACTGTTTAGTTTGATCAGCCTCCCCAAATATAATTCAACTCAAATTTCAGTTCTCTGAAGAACTCTGATAATACAGCCAAATTAACTTTTGAACATGCATAATACCTTCAGCAATACTACTTCTCTCTCTTTCTTTCCCCATAGAGTTATTGCCCTGATAGGTTATTCTCCATGGTTTCTCCAATGGAAACTTGTCAGTTTTTAAAGCATTTCAGCAAACCCCACGGCCTCTCTGGTCTTGGATAGCAGGGTGGGGTGCCTGAGTTGGTGCCAAAGTTAGACTCCTGTGGAGGCTCAGCAGGGATCCCAGAGCACACACCCTCTGGAAAGTTACAACCTTATTTATAAGTTTTGCAATGTATTAAGAAACTTTTATGAGGGACTTTGAAAACAAAAATGTAGATCATAATGAAATATACCTTATTTCAAAAGACTATTTACAGAAAAATAATTTTGGAAATTTTTGAATTTCCCGATAAGATTTTTTTAATATGAGAAGAGTTTAAGGAATATTTGAAGCTTTAAAAGATCTGATCCTTTTATTTCTAGATGTAAACATAATGAAAAAGGGGGAGAAAACACACATCAAAATAAGACCTCCAGTGTTCCTGTTTATGATTACATTTATACTGACTTTGAAATATTTTTGTTACATGTGAAAAACAGTCTTCATCTACTACTAGTTTTTAGCAGGGGGATTCTAACCACAGTCTGCGCACATTTACTTACGTCCCTGGTGCATGAGAAAATCATTTTGACCCTAGATTTCTCATAGATTTAACATACTCTTGTCCATATACCACTGAGAAAATACAGGAAAAGCAGGTCCAAATTGAGCCTTGGAACTTTTGCAAAAAAAAAAAAAAGTCCATAAAAGGAAAGTCTGTGAGCCTACACCCTGCCAAAAAGAAATGCTCCTAATGGAGGAGGCACGTATTTGCTCTTCCTTTGAAAGGATGGCATTTTAATGTTACTTTGCTGCCAGATGTTCATCTGGTTGCTGTGAAGTGATTCTTTTAAAAAAAGGTATTTTTATTTTAATGATGCAGAGTTTTCCACAAGGCAAGACTGAAAGAACCAAGAAAGTTTGCTTGTTTGAAAAATCATTTTCTAAAAATTTCAGACTTGTCAAAACTTTGCTTGATGGAATTTTATTTGCTGCCCTATCTCTGTAATGCTAGGCTCTAGCAGTGCCAAAAATCCTACATAGTTACTGACAAATGTGTGATCTTTTTACAGCCACACCACCTGCTGCCCGGAAAGCAGCCTGTCCACGTAGAATGGTGAAGGCAGAAAGCTACCATGTGTTCCATCTGTATTCGCACTGTTCTTACTTCCTCTTGTCCCTTCAAAACTTGGTTTCTTCAGCCTTAACATTTCAAAGGCTTACAGTATAATAGGAACTGAAGATCTAGATCAAAATGTAATATTTCTTTCATACTTGGAATAATTGAAGTTTTAGCATAACTTCTACATGTATTTAAGTTGCCAGGTGAAAAATGTAACATGAAACTTCACAAATGAGCTTCATGTCTAAGTCACTGTTAGCTATCATTTCAGTGACAGTAAATATATTGCTACATGTTTCTATTTTACCCTCCACAATCATGTGTCTTTAAATGGAGCTATGAAATGTGCTAACCTGATATTCAGGATTCTTATTGAGAATAGGTATGTAATACTTTTGTTTTAACTTGTTTGAACTTTTACAAAGTTGCTTACAATCCAAGCTTCCTCTTTCTACCTGTTGTAAACTACAGTGTGTTAAACACCAGTGGTGGGCTGGGCAGACAGCTATAAAGGTAGTCTCGACCTTTATCAGGTGCAACACCTGAGCCTAACTGATGAGAAATGGAACTTATAATGTAGTTTCCCTGGTGCTGTTCATTATGGAAATGTTGTGCTGGATTCACTGATGTCATTCTTATGCTTTTGATATTATAAAGGAGGGTTGTCAACTGGAGAAATTTTGCCTACATGCTGTGTATATGAATTGTGTCTAAAGCTTTGCAGAAAAACAAATCTGAAGTTATTATACATGTTTTCTTGAGCAACAACTATGCTAGGTAGAAAAATATTCTACACAATAATAGTAATGCAAAAAAAAAAATGAGCTACTTGCAAAGTATGAGTATAGTCTGTATGGGTAAGTTTATATCAATGAGCTCACATGTGAACAGTGGTAAATTTCAAAATCCAGGATCGCCTCATGATCATAGGCCTTCCTATGATGTAGTGCAAAGGGGCCCATTTTAGTGGATTACCCTGTCATTGTTATTCAGTGTACCTAATTGTTTTACCAAAAACCTTGATTACATACCATGTGTAGGTGAGATATTGCATCTTCAATTAATATATATTGTGAGTACACCTCCAAAAGTTTCTAAATGATTAATACACAGAAGAGCCCCGGCTGGTGGAGGATCCACTCTGGCTAATAGAGTAATGAACTTCTTTGTTGCTCTCTGGCCTCCTCTTCTGGAAGAGTGAGGTATACAGTAAACATCTTTTGGTCAACATTCTCAACACTCACTAAAACCTTTCACACTCTAACTTGTCTAACTAGTTTAACGTACATCTTACTTTTATTTCACGTTGAGCATTACAAATTAAAATGTTTATGGTCTACAAAGAATGGAATCAACATCAGTTGGCTTATGAGGCTCTGCATGTAGTTTTGTTGAAAATATATACCTATTTTGTAATCTCTGGGGACTTTCAAAGCCAGTTTTTAAAATTATTAATAGTAAAATTAGGTTTTTCTTCCTGAACTGAAAAATCAGACATTCTTATCTTTACTATATAAAACTTAAACACAGTACATTGCTTCAGCATAACTCAAAACATTTTTATTCAGATGATTTATGAACATGGATTCCTAACTGGACCATCACTAATTTAACCTCATGTAATTAAATATTGAGATGTAAATCCATTTCACAGACTCACAAATACACTCTCTTTAAGAATCATATTTAGGGGCCGGCCCGGTGGGGCACTGGATAGTGCGCCGCTTGGGAAGCGCGGCTGGCGCTCCCGTCCGAGGGTTCGGATCCCACATACAGACCGGCTCCCGCTCACTGGCTGAGCGAGGCGCGGGAGCAACACCGAGGCTTGCAATCCCGTTGCCAGTCCCCGGTCCGGTACGGGGGCAACACTGAGGGTTGCGATCCGTTGCCGGACACAGAAAAAAGACAAAAGACAAAAAAAAAAAAAAAAGAATCATATTTAAGGGCCGGCCCTGTGGCTCACTTGGGAGAGTGCGGTGCTGGTAGCGCCGAGGCCGCGGGTTCGGATTCTATATAGGGATGGCCGGTGCGCTCACTGGCTGAGCGTGGTGCCGATCACACCGTGCTGAGGGTTGTGATCCCCTTACCAGTCAAAAAAAAAATCGTATTTAAGTATATCCTTACATAACTCTGGCCTTTTTATTATGCTTTCATTTTTGTAGTTTCCATTTTCTCCTGCTTGCTTCTAATGAGGCTCTCCTACATTTCTTCAGAAACTCAGTAAATATCTTGCCTTTTCTTCAAATACAGGAGATTTTTATAAAGTCTCTATTTTTGAAAATAGCTTCATGTTTGTCTAAAAATCATTCAAATCTCATCTCATTGTCCCTACCCAGGAAGTACCTCCCTCTGTCATCAGCTAAGAGATCTGAAAGTGATGCAGGTGTCTCTAGGAAAGGGATTGATCATAGCTGAATGACTGTTACCCTTGTCAGGAAAAGAGATTGCTTCACACCTTAGGATATTCTTTTTGAAGCATGACTATACGGTCCCTTGGACTTCAGAGACAGAAAAGTACTGGCAGCCCAATGAGGTGGCTGGGCAGAAGGTGGTGCATTTGGAGGCCATTTCTATATGTAATTAAGAGATTTGCAAGGGTTGGCCAGGGTTTTTTCTACTCACCTTACAATAGAGTGGAGCTTATCCTTACTACCTGTGTTATAAAGACTATAAGCTTTTGTTTCTCATAGTGACTTTTTAGTCTATAATGATCCAAAAATTATACAGAGAGGGAGAGAGGATTTTCTAAGACTCTGAGTCTGCCTTCTGAAAAATTATGGCAAAATTCCTTTGGAGTGTAGCCATTTTCTAAAACTCATACTGTATCCAGTTCGGTTGTATCTCACAGCTACTGCTGTTTATAGAATAATTGAGATTGAACCATGCTAATGCTTAGAAATTTCAACAATGGTGTCTCCATTGTTTTAACCAAATTCATTTTGTTAATAAAGAAAGGGGGACATTAAATATTTAAATCAAAGCCAGTGAAACTGGTGGAGCAAGGAAGGGCCTCTAAAAATTGTCCCCTCCATAAAGAGCAAGGAGAAAATTGGCAAAAAAAAGTCAATCTACTTTTTTCAGAACTCTGGAAATTACCAGACTGCAGCAATCCGAGGAGTATTTATTCAAGAGAAATGGCTGAATCTTGGTATGAACAGTGAGTTTTGTGGTGTTTTAACTTGCCCTATTTCTGTCCTCCCCTTCCACATCTGCTGTATCCTTGAAAACCAACAGTACATAATTAAGGTGAAAAGCAGCAGCCTGAAACCCACCAGAGAGGGCAGCAGAGTGGAGTTGGAACTTCTTCAAAGTCTCATCTCCAGAGACTTGCCATTATTTGACTTGTCCGGCAGTTCCCTGAAAGATGTCACTTGCAAGACTGTCTTTATTTTACTGGTTTGGAGCTTGCCAGGTGTGAAAAGCCTTTTCTCATGGACATTTGTCATAAAAGACTAGAGGCAATTGATTAACTTTGTGGCTGTCTAAAGCAGTTAATAACCCCTGGAGCAAACAAAAGGCTAATCAAAAACTTACTGTGGCATGTGATGTTTTGTTCATAGGGGTTTCTTAGAATAGGGCTTTGCACATTCCAAGGGTTGTACTCCTGCTCAGAAAAGACCTGAGAACATACTAGGCTTTCACCTTAGGTTGACCTAGAGGTTCTGCACAAGCAGAAAGTGAAGCCAAAGGCAGAGCTGTCATCTTCCTGGCTGAGTGTTAAAGGGGTGCCCTAACATGCACTCAGAGCCCTCTGCACAGACTGGGACACTTACTGGTTACAGGTGTTTAGGAAAATCTCTGCCTAATTATTAGCTGACCACTAAACTACCTGAGCAGAGACTTGAGTGCTCATGTATTACAAAGAATATAGACTTTGCTGAATTAGTTCAGAAGAGTAATTCAATAAATAAACAGCAAGTACATCAAACTCTTGGCAGAGAGGTAAATAAATATGATTTCCAGAGTTATTCTTTAAAATGTCCAGTTTTCCACAAAAAAATTATGAGACATGCAAAGAAACAAGAAAGCATGTTCCATACATGGGGAAAAAACCAACAATAATAGAAACAGCACCTGAAGAAGTCCAGACATTGGACTTTTAGACAAAGACTTTTAATCAGCTATTTTAAATGTGTTCAAAGAACTAAATAAAGACCATGTCTAACGAACTGAAGTATGAAAATGATGTCTCACCAAATAGGAAATATTGATAAAAAGATAGAAATTGAAAAAAAAAATCAACCAAATATAAATCCTGAAGTTGAAAATACAATAACTAAAATGAAAAATTCATGAAAGGTGTTCAATAGCAGATTTGAACAGGGAGAAAAAAGAATCAGCAAACTTGAATTTAGGTCAATTGAGATTATCCAGCCTGAGGAACAGAAAGAAAAAAGAATAAAGAAAAAGGGATAGAGCCTCTGAGACCCGTGGGACATCATCAAACATACCAGCATATGCATAACTGGAGTCCAAGAAGGGGAGGAGAGAAAGAGACAGAAGGGATATTTGAAAAAGTAATGGCTGAGGACTGAAATTTGATGAAAAACGTTGATTTACACACCCAAGAAGCTCAATGAACCCCAAGTAATATAAACTCAAAGAGATCCCTGTCTGAACACATAATCACACTGTCAGAAGCCAAAGGGAGAATCTTGGAAGCCAGAGAAAAGTGACTTATATCCAAGGGATCCTCATCAGAAACCATGGAGGCTAGAAGGCATATGAATCACATATTCAAAGTGCTGAAAGTAAAGGCTATAAATAAGTATTCTGTATCCAGCAAAACTATCCTTCAAAAATGAAGAAGAAATTAGGACATTCTAAGATAAACAGAAACAGAATCTGTCATTAGCAAGTCTGCCCTACAAGAAATAATAAACAGAGTCACTTAGGTTGAAATGAAAAGACAGTAGACAGTAACTCAAATCCACAGGAAGAAATAAAAAGCACTGGTAAAGGTAACTGTATAGGTAAATATAAAAGATAGTATAAATGTATTTTTTGTTCACAACTCTTTTTTCCTCCTATCTGATTTAAGAGTCAACTGCATAAAACAGTAATTACAAATGTGTTGCTGGGCACGAAGTGAAAAACACAACGTGTATGACAATAACAGAGAGGAAGGAGAAGAGAACAGACATATAGGAACAAAATTTTTGTATACTATTTAAATTAAGTTGGTATTAATTCAAACTAGGCTGTTAATTTAATTAAGATGTTAATTACAATCTTCACTAAGAAAATAGCTAAAGGGGCCGGCCCGGTGGCACACTGCTACAGTGCGCCGCTTGGGAGCGCGGTGGCACTCCCGCTGAGGGTTCGGATCCCACATACAGACCGGCCGCTCACTGGCTGAGCAACGTGTGGGCGCAGCACCGAGGGTTGCGATCCCGTTGCCAGTCCCGGTCCGGTACGGGCGCAACACTGAGGGTTGCGATCCGTTGCCGGTCACGAAAAAAAAAAAAAGACAAAAAAAAAAAAGAAAATAGCTAAAGAATATATAGTAAAAGGTACAACAAAGCAATTAAAGTGGTACATTAAAAATATCCACTAACAAAGGAAGCCATGAAAGTAATGTAGGAATAGAAAGACAGAGACATAGAAAACATAAAAAATGGCAAATTAAATCCCACCTTATTAATAATTGCATTAAATGTAAGTGGATTAAACA